TTTCAAAATTATAAAAGAAGTTGAAAATGATGATACAAATAGTTTTTTTAATTTATATTATAAAATAACAAAAACTAAAAATCAAAATAAAGTTTTTAATCAAGAAGTAATTAAATATTATTTCTTGTTTGATAAAATTATATCAGAAAAAATTGAATATTACAAAAAATTTTATGTAAAATATATAATATAACAAAAAGTTAATAAAGAAATATGATAACAATTTTCAGATGATATTTCATAAAATAATCTTAGAAAACAAAGAAAAGCCAGAAAGATTTATAAGCTTTAGTAAAATTGGAGAAGAAAAAATCATACATGTACAATCAATTTCTACATGAAATATTTTAAAATTAAATTTTAATAATATTCAAGATATTATTAAAGAAATTTTAATTAAAATAAAGATATTATTTCACAATTATCTGATGAGACTGTAAATTCAATTCACAATCTAATCATATGATATTTTTTATAATAAAATAATTAGATATAAATTTTTATAAATTTATATTTTATATTTTAAATTTAAATTTATATAATAAAAAAAAGTTTTTTTAATGATATTTAAATGAGAATAAAATTAATTTATTAAGTAGAAATTGTAAAAAAAAAGTAAAAAAAAATTAAACTATTTATTTAAAACTAATTCTTCAGGATTCTACTCCTCATTATTTTCACTATTATATATATTAATAATAGTTAAAAGTATAGTATTATTTATATATATTCATAGTCTTAAAAATATTAAATATTCAATATTTAACCTTTTATTAATATTTTACAATGACAAATTTTCTTCTAATTCATTTAAAATTAATTCTTCATCATCCTCATTTTTATTTGTAAATCTTCTTCTTTATAAACAATATCTAATATTTGTTGAATATTATAATCATTTGATAAAACATAATTTAAAATTTTTTTATTATTAAGATTATAACAATATATTTTGCCATAGATTCTAATATTTGTATATTTAAATTTGTTCTTCATTTTTTAAAAAACTATCTAAGTGAAGAGAATAAACATTTACAGCTTGCTGAATATAGTGTAATAGAAAAATTATTTTTGCTAACTAGATAATAAAGAACATCTATTAATAATAGACTTTTATTATAAGTATGGTATATCTTGATTAGATGTGTAAAATAAATTATAATAACAATCTTAATCAAAATATTTGCAAATTTGTGTATGTAATTTTTAACTTAAGGATTTTTTATGATCAAGATTTTTTCAAATTTTTAATGCAATTTTTTATAAATATTCAAAATATATATTATATAATTAATTTTAAAATTGTTATTTTGCAATTACTATAATAAAAAAATAAATAAAAAAATTTAATTACTTTAATATTATAGATTATGAAAAAAAGCTAAAAAATAAATATCATCATTAAATTCTAAATATTTAAAAAATATAAATTAAATATTAGATAATAATAAATTTAAAAGTAATATTAAACAATAATTATATAATTATACCTTTGTTAAAAGCTTGAATGCAAGCATTTTTAATATTTAATAATCAATCATTGATATTATTTAAAATATGTTGCTATTCTAAGTAGTTACAGATAGCAATTTAAAGTAGTATTTTTATCTTTTAATACTAATATAGCATCTTTAATTAGTTTAAGAATTTCTGATAAATTTCTAAAGTCATCAAAAAAATCACATTTTCTTAATATTGATTTAATAGAATCATTTTTGATTTCATTTTCATAATGATTTAATACCTAATTAAATAAAGAATTTAAAAATTCAAATTATTTTTTATTTATTTAAATATATATTAAATAAATTACTATAAAAAAAAAATATTATAAAATATAAAATATAAATATTGTAAAGCTTCTTTTAATTTTCACACAGAAGTAATACATTCATAAATTATTATCTAATGAGTTTTATATATGTCTTTAAATTTCTTTTATCAATATCTTTTAAATTAATAGACTTTTTTAATCATAATCCAGCAATATGTGAATTTTAAAAAATTTTGTTAGAATATTATAACATTTTACAAGATATTTAACTTGTGTTATTTTAACAATATTTGAACTTATCAAATTAATATAATGCACAATGCATCTAATATTAATTATATTTGGATATTTCTGAACGACTATTTGTCTGGTAGTTGCTATATTTTTAACATTATCTGAAACAATTACTACAAATTTATCTATATCAATTTGTTTAATTATATCAAAAATAATATTAGATAAATTTTGTGCATTATGATATATATTTGAAATATCTTCTAATTATAAAAAATATATTTTTTTTAAAGAAGTTATAAAGAGAAAAGCTCAAATACTTTTACCATGAAAATCAGCCTATCTATCTAAAGCTAATACATAAAATAAAAAAATAGTTAATTAATATTTGGTTCAAATCATTAATTAAAATTAATGTAATAATTATATAATTCTTACCAATAATAAAATTATTTTTTTTGTTTAATTTATTTTCTATTCTTATATTAATTCTAAATAATTCTGTTTATATTAAAGATCCACCTAATACTTAAACTGAATGTACATCATATGCTAATTATAATATTTAATTAGATTAAGAAATCACAGGTTTTCAATAGTACTGAATAGAATATTAGATATTATAAATGTCTTAATAATAATATGATCAATTTCATCAATTTTTCCTTTTTCTAATTTTTTTAGTTTAATAAAATTAGACATTATTATTTATTTAGATTTTTTAATAGGAAGTTCATCTGATTCACTTGAGATATATTTATCTTTAATATTATGCTTTCCTTTATCTTTTTCTACAATACTTGTATAATATAATTCAAGTTCTTTAAGATATTTTTTACAATGATTAGCTAAATATTCTTAAAAAATATAAGACTTTTCATATTTCTAATATAATCTACAACTATTTCAAGTTGCTGAATAATGTTATTTTAATTGTTTAAGACCCTTTAACATATGGGTTGATTGCTAGGAAAATCAGGTTCTGGGAATTTTTTAGCAAAATTGAGATTTTTATTGCATTTTAGTTTTTGATGTTATTAGATTAAAATGTATTAAGCTCTTAATTTTAGTCAAAAATTTCTCGGAACCTGATTTTCCTAGAAACCCTTCTATATGATTCCAAATATTTGAAAATGGTCATTTACCTCTTTTAAGATTATTAATTGTATTAGAATTTGTTACCATTTTAAAAAATATTATTGATATTATAATAATATAACTGTTAAAGAAAATTAAAAGTAAACTAATATGTATACAAACTCAAAAGCTAAAGTAAAAAAAGCTCAAGAAAGCTAGGAGAAATTAAAAAAAACCAAAAAAAACTAAAAAAAAGTTTTATAAAAAGCAAAAATATTTTGTAAAATGATTTAAAAGTAAATTCGTATGATGATTTATAATATATTATAAAATTAAATCTATAATTACTTTTAAAAATTTTATTTAAAAAAATTAAGCATGTTTTTTCTTAAAGAATTTAAACATTTTTTTTCTTGAAAAATTTAAAAAAAATGTTTGTTTAAATGCTAATTATTAAAAAATATTTATATTATTTATTATACTACTAATCATTATTAATATTATCATATGAATTGTTAAGCCATAAAAAATCTTGATTAATATTATATAATTTATTTATATAGCCTTTCTAACCTGATTTTAATCCTAAATAATATAACAAAAAAGTATAATATATTGCTTATCTTAGAAATAAGTAAAGAGTATCGAAGACTAAAGTATCTGAGTGTGCTCTTTGTAAATCTTCACAATCTTAATTTGTATACCAACAAATTTATAATAATAATTATTTGTGTAATATTATAATTATTCTATAATATAATTATAATATAATAAATAATTAACATATTGCGAAATAATTATTATATTGTAGAATAATTATTATATTACAAAATAATTATTATATTATGAAATAATTATAATATTATAAATTTGTATTATAACTATATTTATAAATTTTGCAATATTGCAGATTTTAAAAAATAGTAATAGATCTATTTTTAATTGTAATAGGACTTATTCTATAATAATTTAGTAGTTTCTCATATATTACTCTCTATTATTAAGTTATCATTACCCTAAGTTTGATAAACTGAATATGAGATTAATAATTTGATAATTTCTGCTAAGATTATAATTATTTCTATAACTTATATAAATATACCTTCTAATTTTAATATTCTAAAAATAATCTAAGAATATCATAAAAAAGTATACAAGAATAATTTATCTTTAGAAAAAGACATATTATATATGTAGTGCAATTCTATTAATCAAATAGTAACAAAAAATTTTAAAAACTAAATCTCTAGTAAATATAATATTACCGCATTCAATGATTATTCTTTAATAGTATTTAAATTTTATTTAAATAGCTATTGTAAAATACTCATAATATTAATAAAATAATAAAAGCAGCAGTTACATTACTATATTATCTAAATTATTCCTTATACCCTGTTGATTTACCTTCTGTATTATAATATTTATTATTAGTTATCTATACTATTAAGTATTTTAAAAAATCTTTTAATTCTTCTATCTCACCTCTTATTCTACATCTTCTAAATTAACTGAAATGACAATAAATACTGAATAGTTAAAAAATCTTATAGATCATATAATAAAAATTTTAAAGATTTTGCTAAAGATATCAAAATATACTATCTAGCTTAGATAAAAATAATGAAAACCCTATACCAAAAGAAAGTAATATTATTCTAGTAAAATCTTTTTATAGAAATGATAATAAAGATTCTAACGATTGAATTAGAAGTTTTAAAATTATAGCTAAAATAAACAATTAGTCTAAATATCATATGTTAAAGATTGTATCAGAATACTTATATAAGTTTACTATATATTAATTTGAAAAAAAAGTTAATATTATTACTCGATAAAACTCAGATAGTAATACTATCTCAAGTTTTGTATTATTATTCTTAAAAAAGTTTTTAACTGAAGAAAAACAAAATCTATGATATTATCAGTTGAATATACTTTACCAAAAACCTTATGTAAAGTAAACTTTTATGCAGAAAAGTTTAAAAGATTATTAAAGAAGGTTAATTCTACTAATGTTTTACTAGACAAGTATATTGTGAGACTTTTTCTAAATAGATTAAAAAAGAATATAATTCTTCTTATAGCATTTTCTCAACCTAAAAATGTAGATGAAGTTATTGAAGTTGCTAGAGTAATTATTATTATAAATAATAATCTTTTTTACTAACTCAAGCTAATAGAAGCAATGATATTATTTATAATCTTACTAAATAAATGAAACAGTTATCCTTAAACTATGCAATCCTCTCAAATGTATTATCTGCATAACTTGAAGAAAAATCTGAAAGAAGAAAGCTAAAAGATAATATAAATATTACAAAAATTTGGGATAAAAAGGATGTTACTTATTTCTATTGCTAAATAAAAGGATATTACACAAAAAAAATATATGTCTAAGAAAATTGTATATCAAAAGAAATCTGATAAAAAGAGGCTAGTTATATTAGAATTTATACTAATAGTAAGAAAGAAGAAGAAGAAAAGGAGGAAGAAGTCTATGCCTTTTCATGTAACTAACCTTATATTACTAATAGAAATCTGTATAACAATTAGAAGCAGAAAGGAAAAGACAATTTGAATTTAGAAGAGAATTAAATTTAAGAAATAAAAACTTATCGATGAGTTTATGAAAGTATAAATTCTATAAATTGTTACTCCTACCCCTAAAAAGAAAGTCAATAAAAGACCTTCTTAAATTGATCAAATGTTTTTCTATAATATTGTTGATTTAGTATCTGTAAACTTAAACAATAAACTTTTAATTTAATCTGTCAAATTAAATATAAGAAAATATCACAATCACACCTATATGAAAATATGATAAAAAGTAATAGTAAATGAATTTATAAGATTCTTTTATTGAACTCTTGGTTTATCCTAAAATTCTATTTCAAGTTACTTTTTAATTCAAAAAAAAATACAAGATATTTTTACAAAATAAAATACTATAAAAATATAATATAACAAATATAATATAAAAAATAAAATAAATAAATAAGATAAATATAAATACTCTACTAATTATAATATAATTAACGAATACAATAATTATAACTAATTTATTTAATGTATTAATAAATCAATGATAACTACTTTAGTAACTTAGTTTAATTTATCCACTTCATCAACTTTATTAATCATTTAATTATATAACTAATTAAGATGCAGTTATAGATTACAGTTTCAATCCTCTCCTTTTAAATATTAAGCTTTTATCTAAATATCTATGACTTTATTAACTAAATTCTTAAACTTTTATAGATAAAATTAATATTGATTATTATTATTAATCGTAGTTAAAAATTTATTATCAACTATAATGTTAATCTGAAATAAAATAAATTAAATAATTTAATATTTTTAATAAATCTAATCAAATTAATAAATAAAACTAATATTTACTTTTATTTTATTTTTTAATATCTATTTAAAACTTATGATATGATTATTTTTAGTTTAAACTTTTCTTATTTATCATTTTCAAAGAAATATTCTAAATTAATTCAAAAAATAAATTAGTTATAAAATCCTTAATTAATTATAATCTTTTATTGTAATGTTACCTCAATAATTTTATATTAATGCTATATATAACTGCATAAATATCTTTTAATTTTTTTAATTCTATACTAACTGAAATCTATTGCTTTGCATTAAGAGAAATACGTGATATTACACAAATTATAAAAAGGAAATTTTATCTTCCAGAAAATTTAAGTTTGAGTCTCAAAATCAGTTACACAGAATTCTGATTTTAGAAATCTGTATAATGTTTTATGATTAATCATTATTATTATTTAGGTAATCTAAACGTAATAGTTATACATAAATATTTTTAATTAGATAGATTGATAAAATATATTTTTGGATAGTAAATAAATTCATATTCATCATATATAAAATGAAACTAAATACTTTATAAGAAAACCATATTTTTTCTTCTTTATCTGAAAATATCTGTTTATATAATTCTTTAAATTTTAAGTGATTGAATGATTATTTAAAATTATATTATTCCAAAAATTTGCATAAGAATATATTTGTAATTTAACTAATAAAATTAACATTTCACATATTCTTTCTATTGAAAATTAATATTAGATCAAAATCTTCTATATTTTTTACTATATGTAATAAATAATTGAAAGATATTAAAAAGATATTTGATTGATCTTCCTTATTGATATTTACATAATCTCTACAAATTATATATAAATAAATAATAAAAATATCAATTTTATAAATGTAAATATATTAAATATATTTATATACTTACTTTGAAATGTGATTATAAAAACTTTATAGCTTTTCTTTTAATAATAGAAATATCTTCTTTTTCTATATTTATTTGCATATATAAATAAGCAGTAATAATAAATTCATTCTAACCTTTGATATACAGTATTTATAAATTTATTTTATAATTTAGAATTTAAATTTAATAATTAATTAAAATATTTATTATAAATATAATTTTATACTTATTGAGTAATTTGAATTTAAGTAAATAAAGTAATCTAATTTACCTATTCTTTTATTTTATATTTAGCATTATGTTTAAATATACATTACTTGGAAATAAGTTTACGCAGTCAGTTTTTTGAATTTTATTCAAAATTGTATATAATAAAATTAATTGATTTTGGTACCAATTGAAAACCCTGATTCTTGTTTATATAACTGTTTATTATTGTAACACATATAAAATAAAAATAATTATAAAATAAATAAATATAACGTAATAATAATCAATCTAACAACTTATTTCTAACAAAATGGGTAAAATCCTGAACTTACCGTTATTGAACGAGTACAAATAATTAGACTATATAAAAGTAGCCACAAAAAGTCTGATATTGTTAGAATTATGAATCGATCAGAGTCCACAGTTAGAATAATAATTCAACAATATGGAGATTCAGATAACATGTTAAGCAAAAAAAGAAGTGGTCAGCCTCCGTTACTTGATGATAAAGATCACAAAATTTTAAAAAAATTGTTAAAAAAAATAATAAAGCTTCAGCTGATATAATACAAAAGAAATTTTCAGTAACAACTGGTTAAGATATTTATATTAAAACAATTCAGATAAATTTGCATCAAATTGGATATAATTCTTATTGAGCTGCAAAAAACCATTTTTAAATGAAAATCAACGCCAAAAACGGCTAGAATGGTGTTTAAAAAGACAAAATTGGACAGTACAACAATGGAGAAATGTAATATGGAGCGATGAATTAAAGTTTACTCTTTTTCGTAATGATGATCCTTCTCAAGTTTGGCGTGAACTAGGCACTCGTTTTAATATTGAAAACCTGAATCCATCCATTAAATATGGTGGTGGCGGAGTCATGGTTTGGGAATGTTTTTCAGGCAAAGGATTGGGTCCTTTAGTGAAAATAGAAGGAATAATCAATTGGCATGATTATATAAAAATCTTAGATGATAACCTGTTGTCATTTATTGATTCAAAGTTTCGTAACTGATCTTACAAATTTTAGCATGATAATGCACCCATTCACACAGCTAATGATGTTAAAGCATGGGTTGCTAAAAAAAAATTAAAATGTTAATTAACTGGCCTGCTCAATCTCTGAATTTGAATCCTATTGAGCATCTTTGGGATCATCTTGAACGTTTGTTGCGTAACTGTTCAGATCTGCCTAAAAAACT